ATATAATTCTCATTTCTTGAAAAGATCTTACCCTCTTTTATGAGGTCTAGAATCACATTGGTTGAAAAATTAAGAGTTGGTTGTAGAATAGGGCCAATAACCACACAAGGATGCAATAAAACCATGTCAATCCCATTCTCCCCTGCATATTTCCATGCTTCTTCCTCGGCAAGAATTTTAGACAGAACATACCATTGCTATAAAGATCAAACAAAAACTCATTACATAACTAAACTAGCTTAGCACAAAGTGTTTTGTTTGTAAGCAGGTATATGATATAAGCGCACACACCTTTGCTTCCTCTGCAAATTCTTTATCAGAAAACCAAGTCTCGTCAACTACATCAGTTGGTGTTAGAGGATTTCGTTTGGCAAAAATTGAAGCTGTCGAGGATGTCACCACTACTCTTTTCACAGAAGGCATTCTCACGCAAGATCCAAGAACATTTAGTGTCCCTTTCACGGCAGGATCCATTAGTTCTGCCTAAATTATATATAAACACGAGATTATTATTTATGGAAGAAAAAAAAAGTCGCAGGGGTATTAACATAAGAAAAATGAAAAGGTTAACCTTAGTTGCAGATGGTGAAAAGGAAACTGGTGATGCTGTGTGAAAAACACCTTCACACCCATTAATTACAGGATCAAAAGAGTTTTCTTCAAGTAAGTCGGCTTCAAACAAATGCAGTCTTTCTTTGGCACCATCTAAAGCAAGAAGATGTGCCACCTTATTTGGATCCTCTGCAACTCAAGCCCGCACGGGTTTAGTTTAGTGGTTTAGTAGCTAAAATTTGGAAGAAGATATAGAGGTCTGAAGTTTAGCAGTGACAATGTAGGGATTATGCCTAAAGTGGACAAATCCATTGTGCACACCGGCATTTGGCCTTATCTGCTATGTCACTGAGTTACCCTGGCCTGATCTACCTCTTCCCACATGCTCAGTAGGCAGGAACGGAGCCAGGAATTCTGTTGGGGGGGTGCGGGGGGGGGGGGGGGGGAGGGCGAAGAAGTAGGGACGGATCCAGAAATTTTTTCCAGTGGATCGTTATGCTGTGCAGGTATGCACCATGCATGGTGCATACAAATGCAAAAACGACGTCGTTTTATTAAAAACGCGCATCCCACTTAAAAAAAAATTTAGTTTCGATTCCCCTCAACAGCATTATGTTGTTCATTCATTCTGGAATTTTAGTTCATAGATTCTGGAATTTTAATTCATTGATTATGGATATTTAGACTTGAATCGAAACCGATTTTTTTTTTCATTCATGCTGGATATTTAGTTCATTCATTATGGATTTTTAGTTCATTCATTCGGGAATTTTTGTTCATCGATTCTGGAATTTTTGTTCATCGTTCTGGAATTTTAGTTCATCAATTCTGGATATATAGTTCAAATTATGCACAATATAATGTTGTTGCTGGAATGAAACTGATTTTTTTTTTTAAGTGAGACGCGCGTTTTTAATAAAACGACGTCGTTTTTGCATCCGTATGCACCATGCATGGTGCATACGGATGCACAACATAATTTGCCGGGCGAAGAAGTAGGGACGGATCCAGAAATTTTTTTTCAGTGAAGGCGAAACGTTAAAACAAAAGAGATAATTTGAAAAAAAAAATTCTATAAATATAGGTATAAATATTATTGGATATGAGCAAAAAATAAAACTCATCGAAACTTTATAAAAATATCCATAACAAAATATGAAACATAATTATTTTGATAAAATAGAATATGAAACATAATTATTTTGATAAAATAGTTTGAATAAAAAACTGTAAAAATATGTTAATGCCAAGATTTGAACCCATAACCTTTATTTTGACCATACATATGCTTTGCCAACCAATTTAACTCACTTTTTGTTAACATTCATCTGTTTTTTATACTAATACTAAAACTTATACTATATATATATATATATATATATATATATATATATATATATATATATATATACATATACATATATACATACATACAAATGTTATATATGACGTGGGGGTGGAGGTTGGGGGGTAGCTGCCCCCCTTTGGTTCCGTCCTTGTCTGTAGGGCCGGGACGTGGGGGCATTTAGAGTTGGGAGTTTAACCTTTTGGGAGTAGAAATGGGAACTCAAAAATGAACTGAAAACAGCAGGGCCAAGCACATATATGAGAGTGTAATAATATATGAAAGAGAAAGAGAGAGGGGACTGACTGAGGCTGCGTACGGTGGCGTGGACAGTGTAATCACGGCGGAGCAAAAGCTTGACGAGCCAAGAAGCTATGAAGCCGGAAGCACCGGTGACACAAACCACCTTTCCCTCTCCGCTCATCCTCTTTTTCAGATTAAATTCCCTAGCTAGATCTATAAACTTAGTTTGAAACCTCCAAGGTAGAAACAAGTATATATAGGTGATATATTATGTTTGTTTTTTCTTTTCTTTATATTATATTCATATACGACAGTGACACCACATGCATAACGATATAAATTGTCGTAAATGAAATTTAATATATCCTCGTATTTGGGAGATGTTGACTCTTTTCAATTAAAAATGATGCCTCTTGGATCTTACCAATTATTTATCTCAAATTTAGTAGCTGTGAATCTGTGATTTATTGATTGGAATTTCAACATTATATTGCAATTTAAAAAAAAAAAAACTTTTAACCACTCTATTATTTTATAAAATTAGAAAAAGAGTTAAACAAGCTTCATAAGTTGATTAAATAATGCAATAGAGTCATCTAACTTAAAAAAAAAAAAAAAAAAAAAAAAAAAAAAAAAAAAAAACCTCCACCGATCGCCCTTTAACTAGATAAAAGTATAATTAAGTCATCATCTTATCGAATTCATCACATTTATCTCTCCCTCGTCGTAAGGGATTCTCTCTACATTCTCTCCCAAAATTAGGGTTTCTTCATCGACACAGTATTAGCGAAGCAGATTCGACGGAAAAATCACGCAGAAACAACGACGCACGGCAGAGAAGACTGAGCGCAGGCATGGCAGCGTCTGAACCTACGATTGCAGGCCTGTCGGACAGATGGGCGGATATAGTTCTAGAAGATGAGGACGCCGGTGTTGAGGCGCCGGCGGTCGACGATGACGCAGGCACGTTGGCAGAATCTTGGATGTTGGTCGGGCGGTTCTTGACACAGCGGTTGATCAAGGTTGAGTACATGCGACAAGTCATGGCCTCGGCATGGAAACCGGTTAGTGGTGTGCATATCATGGAGCTCCAACCGAATCTTTTCCAGTTCGTATTCCATCACAAAACGGATGTCCAGAGAGTTTTGGATGAGGGGCCGTGGTCCTTTGAGAATTGTACGCTGTTATGTAAAGAGGTGAAGGATGGTCAGTTGCCGGAAAATATGGTGCTTGATACTGTTGATTTATGGGTGCAGGTGTATAACCTGCCGGTTGGTTATAATACGGTACCGGTGCTTGAACAAACAGGGAACTTTTTGGGGAAGTTCCTAAAGGTCGATGAAAGACAGATGAAGGGGCCTCTCAAAGCATTCTACCGAATTAGGGTTTGTATGCCCGTGGATAGACCTCTGAAAAGAAGAATGAAATTAATTCGGTAGGACAAGTCATGGGGATGGGTGAATTTCAAATATGAAAGATTACATACTTTCTGCTTTTTCTGTGGACTTTTAGGGCATTCGGAAAAGTTTTGTTTGAAAGCTAGGAACTCGACTTTGACACCTGAGTAATATCCTTATGGTGTATGGAAAAGAGCTGGTCAGGCAAGAGGCCCACGGCCAATCGGAGAACCATGGTTGCTTACCTCGGAGGATCCGCCGATCCGCCATGGATCTACGAGTGGGGCGCCGGAGATTCCGGCATGAATGAACAGGCACACTGCCAAACCGAGGAGGAGGAGGGGGTAACGGTGTTGACTAAACGTCGCAGGCAGGATGATAGACAGTTGACTAATACGGATGTTAACATGGCTGACAGTTCAAAAAACTTGCTACAGGCGGGCTCTGGTTCCCAGACCCGCCCACAACAATGAGTACTCTGAGTTGGAACTGTCGTGGCTTGGGCAATCCACGGACAGTTCGTGCAGTTGTGGACATGGTGTCCAAGAAGAAGCCTGATTTTGTATTTTTGATGGAAACGAAGGTGGGACGAATACATGCTGAACGTGTTCGTGTCAAGATTGGTTACGAGGGCCTTTTTTATGTTAATAATACGGGCCGTAGTGGTGGTTTAGCATTACTTTGGAGGAAGAACAATACTGCAAGATTACTGGGTTACTCGAAGACTCATATTGATGTGGAGGTTAGTATAAGTGGTTTTCCGAATTGGAGGATGACTTGTTACTATGGCTATACAGAACGAACGCGAAGAACTGAGTCATGGGATTTATTGAAACGGTTGGCAACATAATCTGAGCTACCCTGGGTTGTGATTGACGACTTTAATGATCTCTTGTATCAGTATGAGAAGAAAAGTGGAAATCCACACTCGAATAGTCTCTTACGCGGTTTTGGAGAGACTATTGATCAGTGTGATTTGGCACAGTTACCAATGAGTGGTTATCAGTTCACATGGCAGACGGGCAAAGGCACTCCTGGATGGATTCAGGAAAGACTAGATAAGGTACTTGTCACTAACCACTGGAGGGATATTGTTAAATGGGGCCACGGTTACAAATCTGTTGACAAGAAGATCAGATCATTCAGCTATTTTCATGGGGATTCGACATTATGGGACCAGGAGTGGTGGGGGGCGAAGATTTCGTTTTGAGATGGCATGGCTTTATGATGAGGGGTGTAGAGCAGTAGTTGCTAAATCATGGGAGGAAGGAAGGAGTAGGGGCGCACAAAGTTGTATTGCACACTGTGGAAACCGGTTAACCCGTTGGGGGGGAGACCGTTACCATAAGTTTGGGGAAAAGATTGAGCTGCTCCGGAAGAGACAAGATCAACTCAGGGGATGTACTGATCACGCATCCCTGGATGAGTATAACCGCCTAGAAACGGACCTATGCCGAGTGGAGATGCAGGAGGATGTATACTGGAAGCAGAGGGCCAAACAGCACTGGCTCAAGGATGCTGATGCCAACACGAAATTTTATCACAGGTATGCCTCGAACCGAAGGAAAAAAAAATACTTTAGTTAAAATTATGGATAATCGTGGTGAATGGGTAGAAGGGGATGATATGGCGGGTGTGGTTCTGGATTATTTTAAGCACATTTTTACAACTGGTAATCCCATGAGTGGTGATCTGATTTATAGCAATATTACTCCACGGGTAACTCAGGCACAAAATGAGTTATTAGTGCGGCCCTTTGAGGTTGGTGAGATGAAAGATGCTCTCTTTGAAATGTATCCTGATAAGACACCAGGACCAGATGGGATGAACCCGGGTTTTTATCAGAGTTTCTGGGATATTGTGGGGGGTGATATCTCGACTTTTATTGTAAAATGTCTGAATACAGGCTCATTGCCACCTGGTCTGAATAATACCGATGTCATATTAATTCCTAAGAAAGATGTTCCTGAGCAGGTCTCTGATTTGAAACCGATTGCACTGAGTAATGTAATTTATAGGATTATGGCCAAAATGATTACCCAGAGAATGAAACCCCTAATGGATAGTATTATATCTGAGTCCCAAAGTGCATTTATACCAGGCAGGTTGATAACGGATAATATTTTGATTACTTTAGAGGTAGGCCATTATTTGAACAGGAAACAGTGTGGAGCAGTTGGTTGGAGTGCCTTAAAACTGGATATGGCGAAGGCCTATGATCAGATGGAATGGCCTTTTTCGAAAGGTATGATGGTGGCCCTAGGATTTAATGATAAGTGGATTGATCTTATTATGATGTGTGTTACGACGGTATCCTATAATTTCCTGGTGAATGGGTCACGTAGTGATTCACTAATACCAACTAGGGGCTTACGACAGGGTGATCCATTATCTCCATACCTATTTATAATTTGTGCTGAAGGTCTCTCTTTATTGTTACAACAAGCACAAGGGGTTTAATACACGGATGTAGAGTAGCAAGGGGTGCTCCGCCTATCTCCCATCTTTTCTTTGCTGATGATAGCTTATTATTTTTTAAAGCAACTGTGCAGGAGGCAAATGAAATTAAAGGTTGCCTGGCTCTATATGAAAGTCTGTCGGGGCAGGCTGTTAATTACCATAAGTCCAGTATATGCTATAGTAAGAATACGACGGAGGAGGTCAAGGAAAGTGTGGCACAAGTATTGGGAGTGATCCAAGCTCCTAACTATGGAAAATATCTTGGGTTGCCATCATTTATTGGAAGAAATAAGAAAGCAGCATTTGCTTATATAGAGGACAAGATCAGACAGAGAATAGGGTCTTGGAACAAGAAGCTATTGTCACAGGAAGGTAAGGAAGTCTTATTGAAAAGTGTGGCTCAGGCTATGCCTACTTTCTCAATGAGTGTTTTCTTATTGCCTATTACTATTTGTACGGCTATTGAGCGGTTGATGAATAGGTATTGGTGGGGCTCAGGAACTGACCAGAGAATCCATTGGAAAGCCTGGGATAAGTTATGTATTCCAAAGAAGTATGGTGGATTGGGTTTTAAGGACCTAAGAGCTTTCAATGTAGCACTCTTGGGGAAACAAGCTTGGAGATTGTTAACCAATACAGATTCTCTAGTTTCTAAAGTTTATAAGGCAAGATATTATCCGAACCAACCTTTTACTGATGCGGTCCTCGGGAACAACCCAAGCCACTGTTGGCGGAGTATTTTGGCGGCAAAGGGTTTAATTTGCAGTGGGGTTAGAAGACGAATTGGGAATGGAAATTCTACCTCGGTGTGGGGACACCCATGGTTGCAAGACGAAGACGACCCCATGATCCAGACAGAAATGCCACCCCAACTGAGTAATGCCAGGGTAATCAATTTAATTGACCAGGATACAGGCACTTGGGATCATGATTTGCTTACTGATATTTTTGAACCCAGTGATGTGATTAGAATTCTTAAAATACCAGTCTCCCCAGGTTATGATGATATGTGGTATTGGCATGGGGACCCCAAGGGCAACTACACGGTTAAACATGGATATAGATGTATATTGGGGAATTATGAGAATGTAGAGAATGTGGGATTTACGAAATGGCTAACATTGTGGAAGCAAAAAATACCACCCAAATGGAAAACCTTATTATGGAGAGCTTTGAGTGATATCCTCTCTACTACCAATAACTTGCTTATAAAAAGGGTAGAGGTTGATCCGGTGTGTGCCATGTGTGGAGTTGCAAATGAGAATATTATGCATGCATTGGTTTTGTGTGATTACACAAGGACCATTTGGGCACTATCTAACCTTCCATCTACAAATATTGTGACAAATATTTTTTATGAATGGTTTAGTGCAATGTTAAATATTCTAGATTCTGATGGTATTGCCTACGCAGCTGCAATTATTTACCATTTATGGAGGGCTCGGAATGGTGCGGTTTGGGAAGCATGTTTGCCCAGACCACGACGATTGCTCGCCGCGGCCCATGCCGAATTATCTGCATGGTGTCATGTCCATGCGCTGAGAGGGGAAATGGATATTGCGTCAACCAGCGCCCCAGCGCTCAATACTGCCCACGAAGCCGTGAGCCATGCTGCAACAAATCACGCCCCAACACAAGTAGAGTCCAAGTGCTATGTCGATGCTGGATATCATCATACGGACAATGCAGCAACGGTAGGAGCAGTAATAATTGATTGGATCAGATGGTCGATTTATTTCGGCATACGCCGCCGCGCCTTTGTCACATTGTTTTTCCCCACTAATGGCCGAGGCATATGCTTTTAAGGAGACTCTATCTTGGCTACGCGAGCGTGGAGATCAAAATATAGAGCTTTATACGGATTGCCAGATACTACAAAGTTACTTAACCACACCACAACTGCTGACACGATCATATGTTGGCTATGCTATTGATGAATGCATGAACTATTTGTCTACTTTTAATTATAGTCATGTTAATTTCATTCCTAGATCGCAGAATTATTTAGCACATAGTTTAGCTTCTACAACTTTCCAGTACGATACAACTATGTATTGGGATATTATCCCACCTGATGCTATTTCAGCTTATCTATGAATACAACCCATTGGTTGACCTTCAAAAAAAAGTCATCATCTTATCTAGTTACTACAGATTGTACTATGACCAAACTTTCACCTATGATATTATTCTAATGTGATTACTAGATATCTGATGTGGCAATAACTTGGTATAAATTAAATAATTTTTATAAAAAATTGTTGACAAAATTAAATTAAATAATAAATTAATAAATAATTTTGAAAAAAATTATTTTAAAAAATAGACGAAAACATTCAAACAACAAACTATACCCAACACTATATATAATTAAAAGCATTCATGACACTTAATTTTGTAATCTCCACACATAGGTGAAATTAATAACCATTACAAAATTAGATCTGCGATTAGTAGTTTACACAGAATAACAAAGAAAGACCAACCGACACCAAACCAATCAGCTACTGAGTTCGCTTCCCAGAAGATATGAATGATTGATAAGTGCTTAATTTACACTCATTTCTAATACCGTATATATTATGATTTTACTTGTATCTTGTTTAGTTTGATGGAATATAGTGATTAATTCCCTAATATTTGATTTTTAGGAATTTATGAACAAATATGGCAAAACATGAATGTGCTTTGTGACATGATGAGTGCTCAATTGTACTACATGATGAGTGTTCAATTGTACTACTTTTAGGGTGCTATTATTGGCCAAATTAGGATTAGAATTGCTTTTATTGTACTTGAAATCCCTAAATATGTGATAAATTGTGCTCGATGACTAATTTTGGCAATTATTGTAACGCTGTTGTTATGAGCCTCGTTACACTTGTAACAAGATTCATAATGGGAAGCACTTGAAAGAGTATTCTACTACTACGAGCAAGCATCACACGATAGTCATGGGTCGTAATTATGGAAGCATCCACAATGCGTTTGTATTGCTATTAGAGAGCGTTACGCTCGTAACCTAACCTTGTGACATGCCTAGTCCAACCTATAAATAGAGAGAGTTAGTTTTTCATTGGGGGGAGGGGGTTAGACATTAGTTTTATCTCTCCATTCTTAGAACCGTAGATAGAAAAATTTACTTCATTTCTCCTTTCAATTTCATTTTCCTTTACAAACATTACTTAGATTCAAGTTCAATTACTACATTTGAGGAAGGATTGAAGATTATGGTTTCCAATTTCATCTCAATTTAGATAAGTACGTCCATTCCAATTTCATTTCTTTGCAATTTTACTTATTGCTTGATTATCTTAGTCTATTACTTGTGATTGCTATGGATTGTGCTTTTGATCATGAATCTATTTCTATTTCTACTTTTTTTTTTTTTTTTGGTAGAGATCTCTATTTCTACTTTGATCATGTGTGAGTAAGCATCTTTGGAGGGAGATAGGGATGTAGGTTAGGTTCATGGAGATGTGATCTTGAATTTGTTGAGTAGGGGAGATGAGACTTGGCTTGGATAATGTTGGCCAATGTGATTGAGTACCGATTAGGAAGTAGGGGCGGGGTCAGAATTTGTGGATGCGGGGGGCCAATCACAATTTGAAGAGAGAATAATAAAATATATTAATATTTATTTAACATATTTCAAAATATATCATTATATTACAAATCTACTAAAATTTGAGATGTCTTCCAGAATTCAATGGCTCAATACTTGTAAATGAATTTACTTGAGATGTTGAATTTCATAATTCTTTCTTTTAAAGAAAAGATCAATTCTTTGTGTCTTTTTCATTTCAACTCAAACTTCCGATGTTCACAGTGTTATTATTATTATTTTTTTTTAACAAATCAATTGAATTAACTAGAAACTGAAAAAAAAAAAAAAAGAATAAATAGACAAAGATTAAAGTAGTAAAAATTTAAAGATTTTGGTAGCAAAATGACAATTTATTTCATTTGCAAAAAAACTAAAAAAAAAAAGGACAAAGGTTAAAGTAATAGAAATTTAAAGATTTTGGTAGTAAAATGACAATTTATTATTATAATAAACACAATTGATCAATTATTTGTGTATTTTTCATTTCAAATTCAAACTTCCGATGTTCACAGTGTTAATTTTTTTTTTTTTTTGACAAATCAATTGAATTAACTAAAACTGAAAAAAAAAATAGACAAAGATTAAAGTAGTAGAAATTTTAAGATTTTGGTAACAAAATGACAATTTATTATTATAATAAATACAATTGCAATGTATTTCATTTGGAAATTAAAAAAAGACAAAGGTTAAAGTAGCTAGTAGAAATTTAAAGATTTTGGTAGTGAAATGACAATTTATTATTATAATAAACACAATTGCAATGTATTTCATTTGCAAATTAAAAAGACAAAGATTAAAGTAGCAGAAATTTAAAGATTTTGGTATCAAAATGTCAATTTATTATTATAATAAACACAACTGCAATGTATTTCATTTACAAATTAAAAAACTAACTAGATAGCAAATTAGCAATAATCCACAAAGTTATCCTAGAAGCTTTGCTTGGAGGGTGGCAAAATAACAAATATTTAGTGAGGGGGGCAAAAAAAAAAAAAAACTACAATACTAATTATTAAAAAAAAAATGGTTGGGGGGAGGGGGGGTGGGGGCGAGGCCCCCTGCAAGTTTAATGTGGCTCCGCCACTGTTAGGAAGTGATTACCTATGAGAAAAGGGGAGTATGAAATATCCAGGACACCAATGCAAGAGTTTGATGAAATACTTCTTAGACACTCATGAGTTATTAGAATGCCTTTAAGTCTTCCAAGAGTGTGAAATGGATGAGGATATAATATTTCTGAATGATCAAATAATAAGTCTGTACAGGAATATATATAGTAGCGAATAGTAAACCTAATACAAGACGAATACTACTAATAATAGATAACAAATACTAATGATAATAGAGTCCTAATACTCCCCCTCAAGCACAAGGTGGACCAGCAACAACATTGAGCTTGCCACACAGAGTGGAGAAACATGGACCGGGGAGAGCTTTAGTGAACACATCAGCCAGCTGATCCTTTGTAGAAATGAAACTAACTTGCAACTCCTTCTTTGCCACTTTGTCACGAACAAAGTGATAGTCAATTTCCACATGTTTCGTACGAGCATGGAACACCGGGTTGGAACAGAGATAGGTTGCACCCAGATTATCACACCAGAGAGTGGGAGGAGCTGACAACGGCAACCGAAGTTCGTGCAACAGAGAAACCAACCAGGTGACCTCAGCAGACACGTCAGCCAGTGCCTTGTACTCAGCCTCTGTAGACGAACGAGCAACCGTACGTTGCTTCCGGCAAGACCAAGAAATCAGATTGCCACCAAGAAATACTGCAAAGCCGCTAGTAGACTTTCTGTCAGCCGGATCACCAGCCCAGTCCGAATCCGAAAAAGCATGAACCGCAACAGAGGAGGACGGGCGAATAAAAAGACCAAAATGCAAAGTTCCTTTAACGTACCGTAGAACACGTTTGAGCATTGCCCAATGCTCAGTAGTCGGAGAGTGCATATGCTGACAGACCCGATTCACAGCAAAAGATAAATCCGGGCGAGTGACAGTAAGATACTGCAGAGCCCCAGCAAGACTGCGATACTGCGTGGGATCGGCATAGGGAACCACAGACTCAGAAACGGGTCGAGTCACAGGCACCGGAGTAGCCAACGGTTTACAGTCCACCATACCTGCACGACTCAATATATCTCGCATGTATCGCTGTTGAGAAAGAAACAAACCACCATCACGGGAGACCGTCTCAATGCCCAGAAAAAAAGACGGAGCACCCATGTCACGAATCTTGAACTCCGAGGCTAAGTCAGTCAGAAGCCGAGTAACACGCGAAGCATCAGATCCCATAACAAGGATATCATCAACATATACAAGCACATATAAAGATACAGAGTCACGAGTGTATATGAATAAAGAAACGTCAGTCTTGGAAGGTGAAAAACCAACCGACGCCAAGAAAGCATGTAACCTGTTAAACCATGCGCGAGGAGCCTGCTTAAGACCATAGAGCGACCTCTGTAATAAGCACACATCATCCGGCCGTGACGGGTCCTCATAGCCAGGCGGCTGTCGCATGTAGACTGTCTCGGCAAGAGTACCATTAAGAAAGGCGTTGTGAACATCCAACTGCCGAATTACCCAACCGCGAGAGACGGCCAAGGAGAGGAGAAGTCGCACGGTTGTGGGTTTTACAACGGGACTGAAAGTCTCAAAAAAATCCTGTCCTGCGACTTGATTGAACCCCTTAGCCACCAACCGAGCCTTGTGCCGCTCAATTGTGCCATCAGCCTTGCGCTTCGTCCTGAACACCCATTTGCACCCCACAACATTCATGCCAGGCGTGCGACTAACCAGACGCCAAGTGTGATTCTGAAGCAAGGCATTAAACTCAAGATCCATGGCCTCACGCCATTCCGGATACCGAACTGCCTGAGAATAACAAGTCGGCTCAGAGACAGTCATTAGTGCCACATGTTGCGCCGGTCCCAAAGAACGAGTTGCCATAACATGAGACCGAGGCGGAACCGGTTTCACCGTGCGGCGACCTCGCTTGGACGCCTTAGGGGCACCCGGGACTGCCACATCCGGAGCCACGGCAGTCTCGGTGCGGGAATCAGAAGCAGCACCAGCAGCCCCGGAATCCGTGTCCATGTCCGGACGAGGATCCGGCCCAGCAGGGCAAACACCGGAGCTCGCGCCAACCTGAACGGCGCCAACACCCCACGGCTCAACCGGGCGAGAGCGAGAGAC